GTCGGATTGATCCTTAGCTGTCTATAATGCTGCGGCGTTTGAAAGCACAAGTCAGCCAAGTGGCAAATGACGTAAGTTCCATGATAGTTTAAAGATCACCGATCTCTCTTCGCAGATGCGTTAAAATAGTTCCTCGTGCTGGCGCAATCTTTCGATCCTAATTTGATTCGTCATCTGTTCTTCTAGTAAAGGAGCCATTTAAGTGGGCTGTTACTGTCAGGATATGCAGGACAACAGCATAGTTAGGGCTTTGCCTTCCACATATCATATGCAGCACAAATTTTGGGAAGGCCAGACCCATTCCAACCTGATACCGGCCATTCAAGACTGGCTCGCCTACTAAAGGTTCTAGGCTTTATGGCTCTGCAGTGGTCATTATGGCATGGGCTATTTGATAGAATGTTGCTTGAACATGGTTACTTCTTCTTGTTCTTATTCTCAAGCATCTTTCCCGCTTGTAGGCGGGGCCCGCTTTTGCATAAACATATTCACAATATGTGCTAATTCTTTAAAACTGCTAGTTTTGTGTTACAGTTGCCTGGAGTGCTTTCACCTGGGGGCGGTCGTGATTCTCGTGATGGAACTCCATTTTTCCCGAATTCTGATTCTACCAGTCAGAACGACGATGACGAAATCGAAGGGTTTCTCTGCCCTATATGTATGAGCACGTTCAATTCTCCTGAACTGTTATCGGGACACTTCGAGGAGGCTCATAACAAAGTAAGTCAGTGTGATTACATATGCAGTCCTTATAAGCTTTTTGCGTTTTTTTTTTTAGTTTCTAAGAGTTCTGATTGTTTTTTGTAGTGGTGCTGAACTACTGCACCACAGTATTTGTTTTGCTACAGTTTTTAGTGAAAAGAGAAGTAGTGTAAATGTAACGTCAGTCATTTTCATTCCAGGAGAACTCTTTGATACCGAATCCCAATTTTGAAAACTCGTTGCCGCCTCTTTCTCCAGGTACGTCTTCTCTTTTGTGGAGTTTTTCAGGCTGCGTAACATATAGTGTTAGCTGAAATTGTTGATCTTCAGCTAAAATATCCAGTGGAGTTGACTCTTCATCTAAGCTCGCAATGATTTCAGGAACCAATTCAACTGCGTCGTTTCCTACTAAAGATAAAGAAATAGAAATAGAGCGACATTGCGTCCTGCAAGTAAAGGAGCGAGCACATATATGCCCGAAAAGCTAAAGGCAGAGTGTCGCAGTAAATCTGTGTTTTTAAACCCAACTTATTCTGACACTTTTCCTTTAGGAGGAGCTAGACCGCATTCAATCTGTTGTTGCCCAAGCAACAGATGTTCCACAGGGAGAAGTGCCATATCTGATGCAACAAAATTCAGGTGCTTGAAGCTGGAAAGAGCATGGGTAAGTTGTGCTTGGAATGGATTCTGAACGGATCTTGTGTAAAGTAGGGTCTTTTCACCACTTAGTTTTCTTCATCCCTGTTCCTTCTTTCGCAGCATTGCAGCTCTTCGCACTTTACTACTCCTATTTTTGCCGTGTCCTGATCGATTTCAGAGTTGTGACTCCCGAGAACAGGTTGTGGTAGTCAAACAACCTCGATCGCTCTCTCTGCATTCATTGTGGTGGATCATAGATCCGTATTTCAGATTGCTAGAAGAAAAGATCCTAGGCTCGTTTCTTTCTGCCTTTCGTATCTGTTATTTTTTCAATTTCATTTATTTTCCCATTCTAGCGGTTGAGAAAACATTTCTGCGTAATTTCGACACCACCACTTGGGTATTTCAGTGACTCAGCGCATGCTCGAATTTGAGAAGGAAAATGGGCAGTTGAAAAGGTTCGCGGAGAACGGCCAGCAGGAAAGGGCCGAAATTATGGCTAAATTGAAACAGCTAAGTGGGCAAATTCGAACGTTGACAGATGAAAACGAAGGCAATAAGGTGATTCGCTCTCTCAGTTTGAAATATGTTGCTCATGTATTCATTCACTGCTTCTCTTTCAATTGGCTGAGAACGACTATTCATTATGAAAGCAATAGTTTACTTTGTGATAGTTCACTTTTTTGTTCCAACTTTACTGAGTATGGTACTGGCGAAAGCTGCTTCCCTTGGTCTTTCTAAGTTCATTCCACTTGGGATAGAATAGTTTTTCTGTAATCGTATCATCTCTGATTAGACGAGAATCAACGCCGAGTTCCATCTTCTTTTAACGGAGAGCGCGATGTCCAGTAGTGTGGTATAGAATAAATTGTGGTGGGCACGTCTCGACATTTCCCTTGGTGAAGGGAGTTAGTCAAGCAGTTCAGTAAGGTAGCTTAGTACGGAATTGTATAGGTCAGAAGTTTTACTAAGGTTTTTCTGCCAAACGTTGTGAAATAAATTTTCGTGGAAACTGAAGGAACTCGATCCACACCCTGGGGCGTCCATTTTTACTCTGATTGTCATTGATGAATCCTGATATTTTGAGTGGTCTGCACTGCATCTAGCCAATAACAGCAGCAATCATTGATTCATTTTCATTAATGGACCTTGCCTTTAAAGTCCGCTCATCGTTTCTAGGTTGAAAAGGAAGTCTTGAAGAAGGAGTTGGCCGAGTACAGGTCCGACAAGGAGAAAATGGAGAAGGAAATGGATATCCTCAACAAGGCATTAGATCAAAGGTATGATTTCTTCGTTTTTTTTTGCAGCTTTCTTTGCTATTTACATGATTTATTCAGACCGAGCGAGGATGACGTCGCTGTGTTGCGAACTGAATTGGTCCATGCTCAAAAGTTGATGGATGAAATATCTCAGCAAAAAGACGTTGAGATTAGCGAGCACCTCAACTCGATTCGAATGCTGAACATGGAGAGGGAAAAGTTCGCTAATTATGCAATTGTTTGCAAAATTACTTATATCGATTTGTTGAAATTCAGGCAACGATGCGTGATGGAGAATCTACAGAAACAACTTGACGATACAGGCTCTCATTCAAAAGAGTATGGAGGTTAATTTGCGGCATTTTCTCCATGTGCTGGAAGTTTCCCTTTTTAGGTCGTCCGAGATCATCCGTTCGCTTACTTCTGAGCTTGAGGACACTCGGCAACTTCTAATCACATGTCAGAAAGATTTGGAAGATGCTAAAAGTGACTCGTCTCAAAAAGGCAAACGAGTCGAAGAACTTCACGGAAAGTGAGCAAAAATAACCCGTTCATTGTAGCATATTTGTTTGCTAATTCTATGCTGTTTTTCAAGGGTTGAGGCAAACCTCGCCGAGCTCGCTTCGTGTCGTGAGAAAATAGCTCAGTTAGAAGAAACTGTGCGCGTCAGCGCGCGTGAGATTGATGATTCTCATGCAATGAATGAGAGCAACCTCAAAAAACTGACGCAGTTGAGCGACAAGTTGGAGCAGGTATATTCTTTAATAATTGAAGAAAAACAAGTCGTTCTCTCAAGTGAAGTAGCAAAAATGAATTTCAATTATTTCAGCTTTCTCAAAGTTGCTTAACGAAAAAAGCTGGGTTATGTTGAAATTATAAGATTCAATGTTACAATGCTTTGCGATAATTTGGGAAACAACTGAGAAATTCATCCTTCCAATGGGGTAAATAACGTTTCCTGTAGGTTTGCAAGTGAATCTTCATCTGATGTGGTGGAGTGGTAGGAGTGCTTTGCCCAAAATCGAAAACGGTTCTTCTTTTTGTGTAAGTGTTCAGAAACGATTTGTCCTTCTTTGTGTTTACTGAAGCTGTTTCAAGGTGATAGAAGAGAAGAACGCTACGAAGCAGAAGTGTCCAAATTCGAGGAGAAAAACGATGTGCAGTCGAACAGCATCAGAAGTGTAAGTCTTCAATATCGGATTTAGTGCTGTAGTTGGTTCTTCCATAGGTTTCATGATGGCGACTTATTTTCATTCAGTTTTGAAATAAATGCAATCAATTGTTTCGTTTGTAGTCTTCAGGCTTTTACTTGCTTCAAAAATGGCGTTCTTGTCGAAAATGCTATTCAATAGATTTTTGCAGTTGGAGCTATCAAATATGGATCTTACTAACGAGCTGTCTTCCCTTGGATCACTTCTTGAGCACGAAAGGCAGTTAATCGATGAAAAGGTACTTTATTCATTTTTGACAGTCTCGGTTAAGGTTTTTGATTTTACCTTCTTGGTAAGCGCCTTGATTAGAGGTACTGATTAAGTGAATTTTGTAGATGCGTGCAGGGTTTCAGAAGCAAATTAAGGGCATTAGGAATTTGTCATGAAATTAAGAGGATGTATCGGTAGTTCTCTGATAGTTTTCGTTCTGCAGAACTCGATTATCACTTCCCAAAGATCAAGAACTGTTCTCGTTGCGTGAAGAACTGGAACGAGCACATATTGAAACTGAGAAGCTGAAAAGTCAAAACGAATCCAGAGCGGCTGAATCCGAATCGTTGGCAAAGCAGTTGCTAGGCCTTGCAGGAAATACGAAAGAATTGATGGATCGGGTGAGCAGTTTTGGCTTATGTGCGTGGGAAAATTTGAGGAATTGTGATCGTGACGGTTTTATCGCCAGGTTATATTTAGATTTCACAGGCGAAGATGGTTCAAAACGCGATTGAACAGATTTCAAGGGAAAATCAAAAACTCAAGAGAATTGCGTCAACTTACGGCACGTTCAGAGAGGGAGGTTGGTGATCAATTAGTGAGTTGTGTGATGTGATTGCTAGGTGTCGAGACTTGCAGTCGGGTCGCGAACTCTGACGCAATGGAGCATAATTGGAGTGGGGCAAATCGTTATTCAGCCGCATGGTTTTCATAGGACGTCCCGCCTAACCGTAATTCTCGCGCTACGTCAGAATCGCGCCCGCCACACTCGCGAGTGCAATCGCGAAGTCTGACACCTATTTAACTGTGTTGTGTTTAAAATGAATAGCCACCATTTGCAAAATTACCATTAAAACTTCCTAGTGTTATTCTTTTTCGCTTTTTTCTTATACAAAGTTCTTTTTAAGAAGGATAGCCTCTTGGCAAAAGCCAATGAGCAGGAGAAGCTGTTCCGTGAAGAAAGAAAAAGTGCAGCTGATAAGCTGAAGAAGGTTGAACATCAGAAGGAAACTCTTGAACGACGTCTAAGGGAAGCTGAGGACGATGTCAATCGGAAGGTGCGGGTCGTACTTTTGTGTAGTAAATCTTATGGAAGTCATGTTTGCTGCTTTATTTGTTAGTACTTTTCGTCTGTTTATGCACATCCTTCTGTATATGATGTCTCGTTGATCATGGCAGTTAGAGTTGCGCTGAAATTTGTAACGCATTTGGCAAACAATTTCGACGCTATCTGAACAGAGGCATCTTTGAGATTAAGATAGGAGGGCCAGTTGGGGGAAGATCAAAATTGCTTGTCCACTTTGAAGTCTCTTCTCCTTCGCCTAAGGCTTAGTATGGATTTCAACGCAAATGCGATGCTTCACGCGGTTAAATGCATTGCCACCGCAAGCCCTCGTTTTTTTGATAACGCCCAATTTTTTTTGGAGTTAGCCAAAACCAACGCATAGCTGGCTCTTTCTCGGGTAGGGCATGGTGCGAAATATGTAGGTGTTGTGGTTGTCTCGGAATTATTTCTTCCCTCATGTTTATATTCCTTATTAGTGTGACGATAAGTTAAGTTTTCCAAAGGGCAAATCCCGTAATTCTTCTACTCTGTCGTACATTTACAAGTGAATCTTAAGTTTTATCCATTGCTTTGTTCGAGGTGCAAGGTCATTTGAAGTTTTTCCAACTTTGTGCCTGACTATCTAGCTAACTCAAAATTTACTACCGCTAATATTTCATCAGAGCTATTCTCAGCAACATCAATTCAAGTGTGTGCTGATCCTTGGTTGCTTGAGAACTTTTTCTTAGGCGGAACGATTTGTCGAGATGGAGAAGGAAATTGAAGACGATCGACGGACAGCAAATGAGAGAATAAATAAGCTGAAAGAAATTGTCCGTTTGAAAGAAGCGAGCGTGTTAGAGGCACGT